GGACGGACGGACGGACGGACGGACGGACGGACAGACAGTGCTGTGCAATGGATGGCTCCCATTGGTCCTGTGGACTCTTCACCTCTGGACTAAATAAAATCAGTGTACTGATTTATGTTTCCCAATTTTAGTTTTTTACATTTGGAAGTTTTTATTTTTATTGCCCCCATCTTTTCACATTGTGACAAACTTTTTTAATGGATAAGAATAAAATTAGAGAATCACCTTTAAAAAACAAACAAACATACATTTCTGTTTGTTTAAGAGCATAAGCTTTATTGCTTTTTAGTTAAGAAACCATCTTTTCATGGCTGTGAATTAGTTTACTTATCACAGAGGGAGAGATTATCACTCAGTAACACAGAGAAAGATCAATCTTTGGGTTTATTTGTTAAAAGTCATAAAGCATTTGAGGATAATCGTACTTGGAAAGGAGCACAAACTCTTTGCATTTGCATTTATACGTCACAGCTGAGGGGCACCTTTTACCTGGAGGCTACGGTGTTTCTATCCTGGCCAGTCTTTTACCAACTTTCTTTCTTAGCTGAGCTTGGTGCAGAGCTACTGTAGTTTGCTAATCGTCTCAGACTTTAGCTGCTTAGACACATGAGGAGAGGAAGGTTTAAAAAGAAAGTTAAAGGGTAGAATGCACCTCCTCTACAGAAGAATGAATAATGCAAAACATCTTAAGCAGAAAAAGGGCAATGTTCATTTTTATTACATTTCTATAATATCTTTTAACTGAGTATAGAAAGACTTTGCATATTTTATATAGGCAAGCTTATACAGGAGTGCCGGATCATATGTGAATGTTGGTTAGTGTCGATATCTGGCAGCAATGAACGTAGCTATGTAAAGAACCACTGCTAAAATCAGCAGGACCGTGGCAGTGATGTTGAGATTGCGAGCAGTAGAGGCAGAACTTCGGGCACGATTCAGATCTCCAAGCACTTTCCAATCTCTGGCCTGAAAACAGAAAAAGTATTAATTTAAAAACTGGAAAAGCATAGGGGAATTTGTATCTTGAAATATAGAACTTTGGGTTTTATCATGGAGGACTCTTAACTTTCTGCTTCTGAATGCAGACGAAACAGAAGTTATAGTCTTTGGACCAGA